ATAATAGTTAGTTCTAATTACAAGTAAAAGCTTTAGCAACTGCACTATAGTAATTATATTGATTTTTTTTTTTTTTACCTTTGCAATATTGTGAAAAGACAGATTTTTATTAGGTATTTTAGTAGTATATTCTTGATTAATGAATATATATTTAGCTACATATGCAACTTTTGATTGCCTATTTAAATAGTTTGCCCAAAGGTTCTACACTATATGTTGTACCTATAATCTAACTAGGAGATTACCTATTTAAACTCTCTGATATCTTTTGTTCTGTACTATCACTACAATTACGCCAGTCTATAATCTTGTGCTGCTTCAATTAAAGATTATTTAGATCAACATCTGCTATACTACTTGTGTCCTAATTTTATAGATAACCTAATGGAGTTTTTATACTATTGGGTTGTTCTAGGAGAAGTGTAATACATACTCTCTAATCTTTCTATGTCTTATACATTTTTAGATTAAGTTTTGAATACTTTCTGCAGTAGTTGAAACTATTATTAGCAGTCAGAACTAACTATTAAACTGCAAAATTTCAGTATTTGTACTCTTATAAGATTTATTTTAATCTTAATACTTGCATTAAATCAGTTCTTAACCGATCTTTTCCAAACTACCAAACTAGTTACCCCAGATGGATTGTTGTATCTAGGCTTTAAATATCTTTCAGTTTTACTTCCTTTGGTTTCTAATTTTGTAATATAGGACCTTTTCCTCTATACGACTCTAGCAGTTAGGTTGGTAAACCCTCTTGTCTTAAAATTATTATCTAGTTCTTCAGTCTCTAGTTCTAGCTTTCCGCAATATTATTAAAGATCTTTACTATCTTTTTGCTTAAATCTTGTCAAACAGACTTTAATTATTTTGGTTTTTTAGATTTAGATTGTCTAAGAGCTTCTATTTCAAGATGATAGTACCAAGATTACAGATGATATATTCAACTGATCATTAAATAAATATTACCAGTATATAGGTCTATTTTCTAAAAATGTCTCTGGTTGAATTTAAACTCTAAATCTGCTACTTGAGGGTGAATAACTTAACTACTACTTTAAGTTATTACACCCTTAATCTATATTGTTATTATTCAAAAAATTATTAATAAAGATACAAGCAAGACCTTATCTTAAAACCAAAAAAAATTTTACTATATATGATTTTTTAATTAGTTTTAATAAAAAATTTGGATTTTCTTTAGTATAGGTGGGTATATATAAATTTTTTTTTTTCCACTTAGGCTATCTTGCCTTTAGTCTCCTTTATTACTTTATGATTGTATAGTATTACAAAAGGCTTTCACATAATATTTAGGAATGGCATTCCGCAATTACTTTGAGAGCACTTACAAGCGATTGGCCACATTAAGCAGATATATCCCTATGAATATATCACAATAAGTTTCAAAATAGAAATACTATCTCTCTCAGACAAATACTATCAGACCACCGGCCTACAATAGGATATCACCAATCTGATAACATCTTCTCATAGAGAAGTAGAAAGAACTAACACTAACACTAATACTAAAGGGGAGATACTAAAAAAAAGGAAACTAAAACTAAAAAAAAAACAAATACAAAGACTAAAGGAGGAAAAAAAAGAAAAGAGAATCTAATAGATCACAATTATAGGCCTGTGTAGAGCCTTAAAAATTACATATCAATAGGTAAAGAAGCTCTGTATCTAACTCTATCCCAGTAATATATGTATTATAAAAAAAAATATAAAAAAAAGACAGCTAAATAAAACAGAGTAGCCCAAGATATGAAAGTCTCGAAGTATTATCAAATGGTTTTTCCGGTCAAGGCACATATACCATTTGTGTTGTTATACAGTCTGTACACAGTTGCTTAATCCAGATGTCTGCTTGATATCTTGCTATGGAAGTCCTATCTATTTCTAGACAGGTAAACAATACTAACTTGTTTTGGAAAATTACATATCGATCTTTTGAAGGGGATAAGCTAAAATGCCTACTTTTCGACAAAATTTTCTCAAAAAAAGTGGTGGGCTAACAAAACTTTTCTGTGGTTGTTCTTTGTAAATTTTACGGTTGTATAGATATACCTTAAACTTGTAATACTCCTAGTGTTATCCTAGACGTTCTGTGTTTTCAAAATATCCTTCTGGTTTGGATGCTGAATAGGCAGAAGAATCTGCCAAAAGAATAGCTTGACCTCTACCAAAACTAGTCCAAAGTAGACCGCTCCCCAGTTTTATACTCTTAATACTTCGTCAACAACACACCTACTTTCATAAAACCAAGTTTATTATTTATTTAAGCGTCTTCTATAGCACTGACCATAGTTCGGTTTCTTGTTTTTTGTTGACCAGATGATCGTTAGAAAGAGTTGTATAATAATGGGGTATATATAAATTATTACAAGATTATTATATATAAAACCTAATTAATTTGAGTTAATTTAAATTCTAACCTTAAATCTGATTCTAAAAATTTATAAAATTATTTAAATTAGTTTAAAATAGTTAATTTATATATATTATAATTGTATAATAATTATATATACCTATCTATACTAAAGATTAATCAAAAATTTATACTATTATTTTTATAAATAATAAAGATTTTTATTTTTATTATTTGTAAAGATAAATTTATATAGTTTGTTGTTTTATAATATTTTTTCTTATAAAATTATTACAAATAAAATTTTTTTATTTTTAATTTCTTGAATAATCATTGATATACTTTTTATAAATCAAAATTTGATTTGAATAGATTATAAAATTTTGATTTTAGTAAAATAATAATATTTATTATTTTTTATAAGATAACTGATATTTAAAAAATAAGTTTTAGATATTTTATTTTGGAAATATTATTATAGTGTTATAGTGCTGTAGTGCTACTCTATATATAAATACAAAATTAGTGTAATATGTAAATCAAAACAATCTAATTTTTACAAAAAATAAAACCTTTACTGTACAAATGTGAAATAACACACAGGTTTAATTTCAAATTCTGGTCTAAATTAAGCTTAATTTGAGCCAAATTTTAAAATAATGCCTCTGCGTATTATTTTGTGCTTGTATAATAATTAGTTTAGTTTAAAGCAAGAGTTAAGGTTAGACAGAGCATAAACTATACTAAAATTTTGCAAGAAATTTTTTTATTAGAACACAAAAGATGGTTTTTTTAAGTAAAATTTTGCGATATAACTAATTTTTTAAAAAGTTATTGTTTTTATTACACAAAGAGGTAATCTGCATATTATATCTAATCTTAAATTTTAATTGGTTACAATACTCTAGCACCATAGTGCTATAGCACTATAAATTAAATCTTTTTTATTTTTATTTTTTTTAAAAAATAATTAAAATATTACTTTTTATAAATTTTGTATAAAAGAAAAATTAAATTTTTTCTCTTTAATAAAGATGATAAAAATATTACAATTTTAAAAAAATTTAAAAAACAAAAATATTATAATAATAATTGTTGGAGATGATTATTTATTATATTTGATTAACAATAAAAAAGATTTATTTGAATCTTTATTACTATTTATTGAAAATAAAAAACAATCAACTTGTATAAAAACTAGTAAATATATAATAATCATTAATTATAAAAATTCAAAGTTTATCTTTAAAAAATAAATAATAAAATCTGAAAAATAAATAAATTTTTTAAGAACAAATGGTTGAAGTCAATTATTAGATTCTTGAAAACTTATATTGAATCATATTTCAATATGTTTAATAAAGAAGAAAAATATTTTCAAATAAATGAGACTTTTGATTTAAAAAATATAGGGTTAAGAGTTATAAGAATGATTTTGAGGTTTGATTCTATAAGATAAATTTATATTGTAAAAATTTTGGGATAAAATTCTAGCCTGGTGATTATATTGAGGTCTGACTGTATAGTGTAAATAAGCACTAAGCAAACTTCCAACCTACAATATTTAAGAATATTTCATCACTAATATTCAAGAAGAGAGGCAAATTCTTAACATATAATACTAGCCAACCCATAGATAGTACTCATTAATAGGCAAACCATACATTTTTTGAATGTTAATAAAATAACGATGGCATAGATATATCATAACAGATAAGTTTAATTGCAACATGACATATTATTTTCTAATCCACGAATGATATAAAGTCAATGAATGACGCGTAACAAGTACACGCTTACAATGAAAGATTAGTAAGAATAATATTCCGGATTATCTGATATTATCGTTATGATTTTACGAGTTGTATTTAACACATTCTATTTATTCGTATATATATTAATAACGATTAATTTTTCATTATAACTTATTATAATATATAAGTTACTATACTAACTATACCATTTCTTATTGGAGTTTAATACTACAGAAACAAACTGATATAACTGATATATAAGGCTCCAGCCCTATAAAACGCCGCCGTTTTATTACTAGTTACATATATTTTTTCCTACATAAATACATTACTAAAAAAATAAAATGATACTGTTAATCATGAAGCAAACAATCTACAATCTAAGACGTGCGTTATTTAATATATTAAAATACAAACTTTATCTTACTTTTAAAAATACGAATAATATTTAAAAAATATAAGTTAATCCAAAATTATGTGTGTTAAAAAGAAAGACAAAAAGTTAGAAGATATCAAACAAATTTAGGTGCTAATAAAATGGTTACCGTTCTCATAAGTGACAGATAAGTTAAACCATCATTTCATAACTTAATCAAACAAGGAAACCTTTAAGTTATATATTTATAATACAAAAAAAAAAAAAAAGAAAAAACAAATTTTTGAAACCAAAAATAATCAATCAATGCAAGACCAATCAAAATTGTGACAACATTAACAAAATGAGTAATATACAAATTTCAGATGGATCTAAAGTAAAGATTGTTAGCATCAATAATTATGGAATAGATCATAAGCGTGATTGTAAACGAAGAAATGTTAAAAGGTTAAATAAATATTACCATAATAACCAGAAAAAGTTATAATCTCATTTATCAAGGGATTAAATAGTCAACAATCTTTTCAATCGTTTTTTCAACCATTTCACGAAATAATTTTTCCTCTATAAGTAAAGTAATATGTTTAAATTGAAATTGAAACTAGCAGATTGCCACGAACCAAAGACATTATATTACTTACCATTACCTACAACGGGTCCGATAGCAGCATTTTGCAAAAGATTGGCCTCTCTTGCCTCCGGATGAGTTTTAATGAATTCTGCTCGCGCTTTTGCAGCAGCTTCCTTGATAACCTTGTCTTCATCTTCAGTTTTATATAAATCACATTTGGTGCATTTCTTACATTTTTGTCCAGGTATCGGCCGAAAATGATCACAAACTATTTTAATAAAAATTATTTCGTCAGTGTTTAATTACGAAAAATGAATATGTGACTACGCATAAGCTCAAAAGCTTACAATGAGCATACGACTCTTGACGCAAGTCCTTTCTGCATAAATAACACATGATGTACCCTACAATAAAACAATAATTTGGGAATAATTATGAAAAGATACTAAAGTTCAATAATGAGAGAGAAAAACATTTTAAACTAACCACAACGGCATGTCATCTTATTACAGCCATCTGCCTTTGTAAATGATACATGGCACTTTGGACACTAATAAAAAGATAAAAATAAATACATTTAGCTATTATTAATGAAAGTATGATTAATTTAAACTTACCGTTCGTTTGACAGCTTCAGCCATAGCTCTTTCTACAAAAAGTCGCAAGCTGTCTTGCTCTTGTTCATAGCATTTGTGAAAAGGTCGACATTCCCGATTGCATAGCATACATGATGATTTACTGCAATCAGGATTCTGGCACTTAAATACATTTCCTCTACGTTTTCTCTTTACCTATAATTAAAAGAAGAAAGCATTAAAATCAAGATATACAAACAACTATCAACGAATAAAATTACATACTTTTTTAACTATATTTTCAAAATCATCAAGAAAAGTTCGTAAAGGAAATACACCAAGCATCCATAATGTTATTTGAGGAAGAACAAAAATTGTAGCGACTTTCAAAGCGCTAATAATGTTTTCAAAGGATGAAAAAAATGGTAATATTGCTAAAGGAATGCTAATTGCTATGACAGCAGATTTTGGAATCTTTAATTGATTAAATGGACTGTCATCATCAATCTCACAATAAGAACAGAATGGGCATTGAACAAGAGATAAATTTGCTTGTTTTAAAGAATGTTCTATGAGAGATTCCACATAATGTTTGAAAACATCAGATAACAAAGTTGCTTTAAGTTGATCCTCAGTAAAGTAGCCGTTACATCCGCCTGGTTCTATGCAATTAACTTGTTTCCCTCTTAATGACCCTTGACCAAATAATCCTTCTTGTACAAAATGATTAATGCATTCTTTACAAAATAAATGTCCCTCATTACAACTAGCCAAATCTTCAAAAGGACAATCACCGTAACAACAACCACAGGTAATAAGTTGGTCATTTTTTGTATATTCCATAAAATTAATTTGTCTAGCAACTTCATAATCAGCTTTAGATTGTTCTTCTAGTCTATGTTTTTGCATTCGATGGACTTCTTCTTCGAGTTCAGTATTTTCGACTTCTTTACACATTTTACGTCTAAAAACACTGAAAATCGAATTCCACCAATTATTAGTCGTCAAATCCCGAATTTTGGCAAAGCTCTTAGCATAATCAAAATTGTTCTCAGCAAGAACAGCTTTTACAGTGGACTTCCAGGTATCAGGAAAGTCATTATATAGACGATACCTAACAGCTTTTATATAATCAGGTGATCGAATAAGTTCCCATGGCTCAATGACAAAAGGGTTAGGCCTACGAGGATAACCTTCTGAAGATTTATCCATTTTCAATAATGTTTCAGTCACTTGTTGTACATGACTATGATCAAAGCGACATAATTTTTCGCGAAGGAAACCAACATCACATTCAGGAAATAAATCATTTAATTGTTTAAGATAAATGTTTTTTGCTTTTGTACAATTAGCACTACTACAATTGTCCGGCTTTATTGGATAATGACCCATATTTTGGTTGCATATTTTTTCACTGATCCGTTCAACGTGGTTGTCCTGGTAAAATTCAATACAGTTACGCAAGTATCCGGGGTCTTGGCAAGCAAGCGTATAAGTTATAATAGCAAAAGTAAAAAATAAAAATAAGAATAAAAATACTTGAATAAAAAGAAAAAGATAAGAGAGACTTACCAGCATCAGGAAACAGAGCTAATAATTGTTCAACAATTGAATCTTTCGAATTAGAGGTATTATTTGGAGTCTCTGTATTCATTAACGAGTTGAATAAGCTTCCTTTGCTGAACATATTGAGAGAGGAAGCAAGCTACTACTTTGAGCTGTTATCCTTGAAACAATGAATGAACAGGTTGCGAACTGTTGAAGATATTATCGTTATTATATCATTAACTACGCATGTAGAATTTTATATCAGTATTAAAAAAGGAAATGTTGGACAAGGAGAATGATTTTCATTTGACAAATCTATGAGTGTCATGATCCAAAGGTACATCTAGTCCTTTTCTTTCGATTTGCTCTAAGCCGCATGTATCATGTGCCGCAACATTAATACGAACCATACAAGAATCAAAGTTTATAACTATTCTAGATAAAAAAGAATTTATCGTTATTAATTGGAGTTGGACATTCAGGCTTAGGACTATTACAAAAAGGTCGATATATCAATGTCAATGCTGACATATATTAAACTGCATTCCTGAAAAATTCGTGAATAACTGGGCATTATCACCGGTTTCAAAATACTTGAAATCTTGTGAATATTGTGAATACTTAGTTTTAAATAGAATAGTTAATGTACTTAAATGTTCACATTATCTAATCAAGTATTCACAATATTTAAAAAGTTTTTGTTTCAAGTATTTTTAAACTGTCGTTAAACGACAGACAGCTTATATTTAGAGATTAGAACCGATTAAAAATGTCGAAATCGATAGAAAAGTTTTTAATAGAATATTCTTATTCGTAACATTTAGTACCCAGAAGGTCCCGGGACGGATAAATTATCTAGCTATCTGATTTTGATTTTTAATACATAATTGGCTTTTTTAATTTAATCGATAATTCATGAATAAATGAGAATGACAATAGAGAAAATTTCTATAATAGGATGATTCAGAATTAATTTATTACGAAAATAAGTGGGTGTTTAAAAACTCTTATTTCTGTTTTGAAAAATTCTAAAATCAAAAAAATGAAATAGATATTTTTTTGATGATATATTATTATCATATAAAAAAAAAATCGAATTTATAGGTCGTTTATTCCAAAAAAATTAAGTTTATTCGAAATCAGAAATTTGATCACTAATTCTGAATTTACCTTAATGTCGTAAAAAAACATCCTATGGTTTCGTCGATAATAAACGAATTAACTTGATTAGAAAATTCAATTTCTACTTAGTATATTCTATTTAGTATATCGATCAACGACTAATAAGTTTTATTAAAGAGTAATCGAATCTCATCTTTTTTTTTAAATGGTATATAAATCATAAAGATCTACAGTAAAAAAGCCATAGATGAATACGGTTAGTATCAGATGTGACTCCCTAAAGGGCCTGAGGTACCCTTGAGAATATATTCACATGCTCTCACAAATGTATCTGATGAGTATGTTACATGATACTGATACGTTTATTTCTTTGTCAATGGTCAATTCGCACAGCTATAAATCTTTGATGCATCTAAATTTTGGTTGACATTTCCACATCTGGTGCATGTCTTGGATGTATAATCCCTTTGACATTCGATCACGTTAACGTGTCGATACTCACGAGCCTTATGTCTCAGGAACATGTTGAACGAATAATGCGAGATCTGTTCGAGAAGTCTTCGATTGGTCTTGCTTTGATTATCCTTCTTGCTTACCAAATCTTGTGTTTTGAGCTTGGGTAACAATATGGGGTCTTTCATATTAAAAGGGCCCATTTTGCAATATAACCAATTTTGAGATAATTGAGTTTAATCATTTGTTTTGATTTTCAGACTGATCCAGGATTAAGCAAATTTCACGATTTTGATTGGTCAAACGTAACAGGTAACTATCGGATAATCTCATGCTGTGTTTGACCTTAGACAGCTTCGTACAATTTGTCTTTTAAATTATCTCTATTTTTTATTATGCAAATCACTTTTCATTTATAATTGAAAAATGGCAGTCATGTTAAAATTTACATGAATCTAATAAAAACTCATTTTTCAAAAATTTGCAAAATGGGCCCTTTTAATGTGAAAGACCCCATATGGTATCATAATTATTACAGCCAACTTGTGATGTATGTTTTTTAGAAGATTCTTGATCTTGTTCCAATGATGTGAAATACTTCTTCCAATGATATACCTTTTTTGCTTGAACTCTTTTTCGACACAAAATGATGACAAATCATTTTTGAGCTTGTCTATAGCCACAATTTCTTTCCCAATTGTTTACCGAATATTTTTGCCAAATTCAATTACTTTTTTACTAGGATCATAACCTGTAAACATGGTTCTTAACCTAGCCATGATCCTGTTTGTTCTTTCTCGTATTTCTGGACTTAATCTTTGTAGTATATATATATACTATCTTTTAAAGTTTGATAGATTATCCTAACCTTCATGTCTGGTATCTTTATCGGTCAAGATCTTATTGAGAATGAGAATTTACTCCTTGGTCTAACAAATTCTCTAGCATTCATACAGTATATGAACTGCCGTTAATAGAAGTCAAGCAAATCTATATTTGAAAAAAAATTAATACCTTAAATTTCATAGCTCATACTATAAGCTATGAAATTTAAGGTATTAATTTTTTTTCAAATGTAGATTTGCTTAATTTTTATTGACAGCAGCCTATATATTGATGTGTATTTTCTTTCAAGGTTTTTTTCTTAAATACAAAAAATTTTTTTTCTCTTTTGCTAAGTTTGATTTGATATTTTTCTTAACATCTCTAATAGTATTATTTCTTATATAGGTGGTCTTGATTCTTATTGATTTTTTTATTGCATATAATGCAGTTATCATTTTAATACAGGTTTGGATATTTTTGTACTAGTGTTTATAGTACTAGTAATTTCTTATTAGCACATTTACTGTACAAACGCGAAATAACGCGCAGGGGCGTTATTTTGAAATTTGGCCTGAATTAAGCTTAATTTAGGCCAAAAGTTAAAATTAAACCCCTGTGCGTTATTTCGCGCTTGTACAGTAATTAGAGTTTTAAGGTGTTTGTTCTTCTTAATTGTTGTACATCTAACTTTACTGTTTCTTTTAACTCATCTTTAAAAATAGGTCTATTCATTTGTTTCAAATTTTTCTTTTAGCTCTATTTTTTAAATTGCTTTTGATTCTTTCTAATTTATATCTGTTTTGAAGTTTAGTATTATTTTGATTACTTGTTTTACTAGGTGCTTTGCAGAAATCTGTGTTTTTTTATTATAATATTATTATATAATTTTTATATTATAATTGTAGAATTATAAATTATAACAACACAAATATAATATAATTATAATATAATATATAATTTAGTATTTTAAAATTATCTTGTAAATATATTATAAAAATTTTTTTTTTTTAATTCAATTATTTTGCCTTTGTTTATTTGGGATTAAGTTATTCAAAATTACAAGTAATTTATCTTTAACTAAAGTAGATCTAACCAAACGAAGAACTTGTCCACATGATTTTATATATCAGGCGCGATCTGCCTCAGTAGCTCTTGGCCTCCTTCAGAGTCCTTAACTCACTAAAGACTTTTTTCTGTTGTTTATCAGCTGGCAATTACCCGCTCATCAAGAAGCAAAATTAGAAAATAAAACAAACTAAAAAAAAAACAGAGAGGTATAGGAAACTATGATAAAAGAATACAAAATATGAAAAAAAAAAGGTAAAGAAATATCGAAAAAAACAAAAACAAAACAGAAAATTTGCTAATCTTAATGTTATAGTTATAAGCTTGTAGGTGGTTTGGAAAAATTACATACTGACTAGACAAATTAGTCTCTATTTCTATTTTTCTCTAAACTAGTATGTGAAAGTAAAAATCTGATAGAAAAAACTTCATCAACTGGCTTAAGGTAAAGAGGTTGGAACAGAGTCTCAGAGCATCATTTGTACAAATATCTATTGCATTTGAGACACATATATACACATGTTTATTATCACGTTCTGATTTGGAAGTTAAACAATGCCAACTTGTTTGGTATATGTGATATCGATTATTTAGAGAAGATAAGCTAAAACGTTCACTTTTTACAAAAATTTCCTTGAAAAAAAGTGGTGAGCCAACGAGAGTATATGAGGTTCTTCTTGTGAGTTTTATAGTTGTATAGTTCAGCTTCTCCATTTCTATCACTTAGGAGTATACATTGGTTACTTCTACAGACTTGTTCCTAGAATAAACCTTCTGGTTTGGATGCCGAATACTTTGAGGAGTCTGCCAAAAAGAAAACTTGATCTCAAAGAAAATCATCCATATTTTGTTCTCCAATATTTCACATCTAAATGTTTAGACTTTATCAACAACAAGCTGCTTCTACTTATAGGACCAAGTTTTAGTATCCACTTTGTTGCTTTTCTATATGTTTTGCTATAGTTCAGTTTTTGTTGTTGTTGATCAGAGGATCATTGTATAAAAATATTTTTAATTTTATTTATTTAATTATATTATTATTATATAATTTAATATAGAATATTTCTATTTGTATACTATGTGTATATATACGCATTATGTGATACTGAATTATCTAATCAGATTGAAAGAAATAAGATATTAATAAAAATAAAGTTATTTATAAAATATAATATAATTAATTATATATAATAACATGGGTTTGGGCCCTGTAGCTTATTGGTTAAGCTCTCAAACCTCCACAGACAAGGTCAATGGTTCAAGTCAGGCTGGTGTCAAATTTTTGAATTTGCTACTGTAACCTATATAGGGCCATAATTGAATGCGAAGCCCTGTGGAAAGTCCAAGTGCAAGTATGGTTCTGGAATAGGAATTTCTGGAAAGAGATCCAATCATAGAGTGTAAGCACTACGTATGACAGTGGCATTACAGAAGGTTCAGTAGAATAATTGCGCATGTAAGTTCTCGTAGGCACAGGCAACACCAACATCTCTTCTCTACCATTTAAAGCAATACCAACATTCCTACATCCAATTTGTGGGGTACTTGCTTGGAAGGGTGATCATTAGATTGCGCATATAAGTCCTGATTTGGAATTATGGTATAGGGATTTGATTGGGAGAGTAATATAATTCTACTAAA